GTTTTTACTTATTAAAATTCCATTATGGTCTGTACTTGGCAGAAAGATATTAAAAGTAAATTTTATTTTCTTTGTGCATCTTCCTTTGAAAACTTTTACTAAGTAGTTATATAGCTTCCTTTATGAGAAATAAACACCAGGCCTTTGTCCATTGGCTAGAGGATAAGGATTTGACTGGTGGGTTATCACTGGGCTGTAAGAAAGAAAACTAAAATATGGGCAAAGGCCAAAACCAGAGCCAGGGTTGGGTTATAGGAGTCACTGCCCATGAGAGCTGGGTTTAGGAGAACATGGCCACCTCTGTAAAATCCTCTAAGCAGGAACTCATCTCAGAGCCCAGGTGAAGGAAAGGTGAGGAGGTCACCTTACCACTGATGAAATGCAGCCAGAAGTCTTGCCCTTTCCAGCTACTGAAAGCTCTAGTCTTTAAAAGGCTGGTACTTATCATTTTTGAAATCTCTTGAGGTTGAGACAGATCTAGAGCTTTGGAGCTACATGCTTTTGACTTGAAAAGGGGAAGGAGAATGACAGAATATGGAGAGACTTCAGGGCGCTCTGGTATCTGTATTCTTTGGGAAATAGGTGTCTTCTGAAGTCTCTCCGAATAACGGTGGCAGGTCCTTATAATCCTTCCTTGGTTCCTAGTTGCTCATAACGGGTCTGTGACAGTGGCAACAAATTTAAAAGCTATTGGAGACTATGAGACGTAAATGAAAATTATGTTAGGGATATAAATACTGTTGACTAGTAACTGTGTAATAACGTGTGTGCGCATGTGCACACACATACATACACACAGATGTATCACATATCTAGAACTGCCTGAAAGAATTTTTACAATTTAGTTGAAATGACATTCATAATGGAAAAGACATCTTTTGATGAATAACTGTTCAGTTCAGTGATACAAACAGTAAGTTCTCCGGGTTAACTAGAGAGTGGGAATGTTTAAGAGGCTTCCTGGAGGAGGTGGGAAATCCACTGGATTTTATTGACTGGATAGGAGTTGGGAAATCAGAGAGGATGGAGGATGTGGAAATGGGATGGCCAAAGGTATGAAAGTGTCAAAGCCCCATTTATTCAGGATTTCAGGATTTTTCAAGAGGACTAGTGGGAAATGGGGTAGAAAGATAAGGCAGAGCTGGAATAGGATGTCAGCCACTGCCTGCCCCGTCCCTGCCAAGCAATAGGTACTTTAAGACTGGGAACCTGCAAGCGTACCTCGACTCGATCCACAGGACAGCAAAAACTGATTCAGTATCTCAGGCACTTCATCCTCTTACCTCATTGAGGTCTGGGATGAGTTCATGATAAAGGGTTTGAAAATAACGTGGCAAGCCAGGAAGGTATTGGGTAGGTCCCGGAAAAAAAGAGCATTGTGATTAAAAGAGTAATGTCTTTACCACGTGGGTTCTCACCACTTCTGTCCCAACTGTCGGACACATTCTTGAGTGATTTTTTCATAGTGGGTTTGAGGGAAACAGATATTTTCTTCAGCAACAGTCCGCAACCGTAAGCCTCTTAGGCCCAACTTCTTACGCAGTCAGACATCTGCAGGACCTGCCTGGACAAGACAGCAGGTCTCATCTCTGCTCATGGGACAGAAGGAAGCTCTTTAGTCTGTTTAAAAATTGAACTTACAACTCTGGCCTTTTGGCACAGAGCGCTTTGGCCCAAACTCCTTTGTAAATAATGAACATCTTTCCCCCTAGCTAGAGTCCTTTCCTACAGAGGATAATCCTTCAGTTAATGAAATACTGCTGGATGTTTCTGTGGAGACTGTTTTGAAGATTTAGTTAAATAAGAGGAACATATCACCAAGTAGTGCTCCCATTACAGGAAATGGCTTAATAGAACACAGGCCTGGGGGTTCTCAAACCAGAACATTCTAGATTTGGATTTCACCTGTCCTGTGTAAAATAGGCCTGCTCATTATTTCTTTGCAAAGCTGTCTTAAAGGTTAGAAACAGTGTGCATATAGCACCTGGCACTCGGATATTCAGCAGAGGGTAGATGTTGTCAGAAACAGCTACCTTTTATATAGGTTCCTTCTCCCGAGCTGGAGGTTTGCTATGTTGCATTGATTCTGTGAGACGGTTTTAAATTAGGAAGGTGGCTCAGATGGATGGTAACTACCTCAAGCAACATTCTCTGCAAGCAGTGTCCACACGAAGCCAGCCTGGCCGGGGCAGGCTTCCTGCAGACTCAAGCTCACACCGTCACCAACAGGAAGAAATCTTCTTATTTTTGCTTTCCTGAGAAGGTGGTGCTGACTGCTTCCTTCCACTGGGAAATCAACCTCTCTGAGCAGCGATCTCAGGAAGCGGGGTCATAGTACTGCTTTTCTAAGAGAGAGACACATTTCTGTTTTTATTAATCACTGAATTGACACATGACTGGGAGAATTTGTAAAAGAGAAAATGTTGACTCTCCTTCTTTCTGTACCCACTGCCTTCTAGAAATTAAGAGCCATGAAGGGATTTTTGTTTGCCAGTCTGGAGACCATACCTTCTTCTGGTTTGAAACAAGCAGCTCATGTCCTTGAAGACCTGCCATAGATGAGTTTCTGGAATAAAAGGAATTCTCAGATTTCTGTTGGCCGTCATTTTTGAAGGCAAAGCAACAAAACCGTAATGCCAAGAGATGCCTAAAATAGCCATGAATGTAATTACGGGGCTAGATGCTTCCTCATCACCAGCTTGAAAACATGTTCTTTTTGGAGATGAATCCAGTATGAAGGACCATTGATGTGGACAGTGAGAGTTTTTTATTCCATTACTGGGTTTTCTGACATACATGGTGCAGCTCACTTTAACACAGTGAACAACAATAAAAAAAAATCTCAACACGAAACACACTTCTGTTGAATGAGAAGAGTATTAGGATTGGAATTCACTTGTTTTATAAAATGATTGTCTGCAGTTTCTGTAAACAGTAGTCGTTTCTTATTCTCTTGAAAATGGTTTGACCACCTTTTCTTTTTTCATATGCGATCTTGTTACACACAAAACTGACTGTACAAACTGAAGTACATGGAGCCTCATGGAGCGCCGTGATGGGGCAGCGATGACTCGGTGCAAGTAGGAGGCTGCAGAGAATTGTCCAGTTTTTGCCTCTGCTGAGTGTTCTACACCAATAACCAAGCAGCCTCCAGGGGGCAGCAGAACGCCAAGTAAAACCCCTGCGCTGGGGCAGTCAGGCTTTTCTGCCTCATTGCCCAGCCCTCACCCCAGTGCCTGTAAAAGTCATCCTCGAGGCCTTGCCAAGGTGGGGACCTTTGCTGTTAAGTCTCCCACCCCGCACCCGTCTCCACTCACCCCTTAAACCCTCCTGATTTACTTTGTACTATGTCATGTAGCTTAATGATAGGACTTGTTTGCTACTGTTTCACAACCAGCTATACCTGTCCTCTGTGTTTCTCGTAACGCCAGGAGTGTCGTGGAGGCCTAAATAAATGCTCGCCAGCAGATGGAGGATCCCTTAATCTGCACTGAGTGCTTGATACATAGTTCCTCACTTGAATGTCAAGATGGTCTTGGTTTTTTATCTTTTTTGCACATGAGAAAGTATTTCCCTTGCATTATTTGTTTCCGAAATGCCTACATTCTCGCCTGTCCTCTGATCTGTTTCAGTGTGGGGTGGAAGGTAGGAGGGCATTCAAAATAAACCCAGAGGTGTGATGGAAAACGTTCACTTTGATGTCAGGGTTGCAGGTTGGCATCTAGGCTCTTCCCCTTCCCAGCTGTGTGCCTTCGTCTAGTCCACTTCTCAGCCTCTGTTTTCTCACCCAGAAAGGGGGGCTCTCCAAGCCAATCATATAATTTACAGTCTAAACTGGAGCACATCTGAGAGTAAAGGAGGGCATTTAAAAATACTCACAGCCGCACAATCTTTAGAAATATTTATTGACTGAGTGCTTTTTATTTTTTCGAGTTTTTGGCTTTCCTATAAAATTGTTCTGTTCAAAAATCATTTGCAAAATAACATTTCCTATAAAATAAAAAAATAAAATGTATAAACAGGACAACTTGTCGATGGGGTGGCATGCTAGAACGGCAGGTGTAAACCGTGTGTTGTTTCAAAGAGTCCAGCCAAGTAATACGTGTAAAGCTTCTAGTACTGTGCCTGGGACACACTGTGGATTCAGGAAATGATGATTTCCTTTTGTTTCCTGGGAGAAAGTTGGACAGAGAATCCCTGACTAGCAATAGACAGAGGTGTGTGGGCTTTTTCTACTCCGCCATCTTCCGGAAGTCTCGTGTGTGGGCTTTTTTAAGCACGTAGATGTGAGTTTTGTCCAACCTCCAGCAGGAAAGTACTGAATAACGTGGTTCTGCCTTTATGGAGTCAGGCAGCTGTCTCAGCAGAAGAGAACATACCTAAGGGATGGCAGTACCTTCCGGGTGACAGCTTGGCTGCCCTGTGAGCACACAGCTCTTCTCTTCACTTGCAAATTCACTACTGCTTCTGGGCAACTTGCCTGGAAAGCTGGAGAAACTGGCCCTGGCACCCGCCTTCTGCCCCCAGCTCTTGCCATTTAGAGGCCTGAATTCAGCAATTGTGTTAAAATACTGGGTTGACCGTAAACTTAATAGTTTGAATTGTAAAATACATACCTGCCTTAAAGATGGCTGTCCCCATGTAACCGGAAGCCTGATTGCCATTCTGTGATTGGGCGTCCAGGGTTGGGCACATCCATTTTAGAAACTTTGAACTCATGACTCCTCACCCTGCCTCTAATAAGTGCTGTTTTGCTCTAGGAATGAGAGCTCTTAAGCCTGTGTGTTCACTTAACCGAAAGCCTCTCAGAGCTGAGGCTTATGGATTTGCCAATTCCTTGGGTGATGGAGGATTCAGGGGGAGCTCTGTGGCCTCCTGGAAGTAGGGAAGGGTCTGCACACGGTGAATAGCAATGAGTGACGGGAGAATCAAGTCCCGGAGCAGGTGGCACTGCAGGGCTGGCCATCTGCATGGCTCCTAACAGCCTTTTCTTTCTCTAGGTATGTGTACATTCCCATGGGCGGGTCCCAGCACGGTCTGCTGGGGACACTGTTTTCCACCGCAATGACATTTGCGTTTGTGAGTTTCTGGCACGGTGGGAATGACTACCTCTGGTGCTGGGCAGCCCTCAACTGGCTGGGAGTCACCGTGGAGAATGGAGTCCAGAGGCTCGTGCAGACGCCGCGCATCCAGGACAGCTTGGTGAGCAGGGCCCTTGCTCGGGTGGTCAGGGACAGCCCAGCTCAGTGGGCTGAGTTTGGGAAGGAAGGCCGTCACCAGATTGTCCCCATCACAGGCTGTTCCTGCTAGATTGACTCAAAGCCCATGTGCCCAGAGGTAGGGCAGCTAAAAAGGAGGCTTCTGTAGCCACTTAAAAAAAAAAAGTTTTAACTATAAAAGTAATACATATTTATTATATAAGAATTAGAAAATTCAGACTAGAGTAAAAGAAAAAAGTCTCCTCCAGAGAAACCATTGTTTATACCCATTCTTCTAAATGTTTTTACACACACACACACACACACACACACACACACACACACAAACGTACATATAACATTTAAGACAGATATTCTTATAATAGAGACACTGTTGTATCAGGACCACCTTTCAATGTCACCAAATCCATTTCTAACAACCCCTTTTAATGGCTACATAGAATTCCATTCTGTGGATATGCCGTGATTTACTTAGTCTCCTATTCTGAACAATCATATCATTACAGTTTTTTTCAGTTATGAATTTCGTTGGGATGAATATCATAGCCAGGGTGAATCCTTGTATGCAAAATGACTAAGTTAAAGGTTTTTCCTCACTTTTAAGGTTTGCCATGCATACTGCTTAACTCTTTCTTAACTGCCCTGTAGACAAATATGCCAAGTTATGTGCCGATCAACAGTGCATGAGAATACCCTTGTCGATACTGAGTGGTGCTGGTATTTTTAATCTTTGCTATTTTGATAGGTCCTGTTGTAGTGTAAAAGTCAGCGAAGGGTTTAAGACATTCCAGCTCTATAGGAGAATGATTTGGAAAATTAAGCACATATTTTTAGGGATTTTAAACTATGAGCAGATGTTTTCTTGTGTAAATGTGGCATATGATATATTAGAATCTTTAGAAAATCATCAGTTCTGAATATGCAGCAATATTCTGACAACTCTGAAAAAAGTACCTAAAGAGAAATAGGCTGGCCTCGGTGTTCATGACAGGCAATAAAACACAAGAAATTTTCTGGGGAATGATTAATGTGGGTAAATTCCCCCAGTATATTCAGCTAAAGCAAATATAATTTGAAAAAGCCAACATCACCAAAATAGAATACATTTGAGTGTTTTTTTCTATAAAGACAGCCATAGTACAAGTGGACAGTTATTTCAATAAAAACTGATATAAAGCCCAAAGCAGAAATAACACTCCTGAAGGAATTAAAATATGTTCATGTATGTTTAAGATAAATATTTTATTCAGTACTCCTACCCAGCAATCAGCAGGCGAGAAATGTCAGTGAATTCTAGTAGAAGGTGGAATTTTAGTGAAAGTCATGGTTGTAACATAGAGGAAAAAAAAACCATGAAAGGTGGTATAAAGGTTACCCACTTCACCCTCAAATCTGAGTAGTCTTGCCCCACATCAGAAACCCAGGCATCACCTACAAAAGCCAGAGGACTCTTTTCAGCCCAGGCTGAAGCCCTGTAACACATTTCTGTGTTCTGTCATGAAGGGTCTAACATGAACCTTGAATTTTATCATAACAGAGCTCTGTAGACTTTGAGCCATGGCTTACATCACTAGGAAATCTAAAGAATCTAAAACATTCAAGGAGCAACCCAAACCGTGCGAAGTAGGCAATGGCTTATTAATTTTGATTAAAAATGAGGGAAGACAGTGAGAAGACATGCTCCCGGATGAAGCCCTTGAGTGTCTGCCGTGCCCCATCACAGGATCCTCACGTGCTCACCTCATTTGAGCTTCCATCCACAATTCAAGCACCTAGATGTACAGGAATTTTTGAACATGCATTTTTTTTTCTTTTTGGCAAGATAGATGTCTTGTTAATTGCATACACAGTGTTTACATATTTATTGCGCAAGAACATATTCCATAAAACCTATTTTTATCACCCGTCTTTTATCCTGACAGCCTGGTGATTGGTTATGGTTGTGGAGACCAGGGGCTTCTTGAGTATAAGGTCACGACCCCGTTACTGTTTATTTCCCTGGTGGTTAGCTGAGTCTCTGAGTTAGCCTCAGGAAGTCAATGCACAAGTACTGCTTCCCCACTGGCTTGGTTCTTGAGTTCTTCCTCCACTGGTCCAACTAAGGACTCTTCCTCCCTTACTGTTTCTTAGTTCAGCATGGACTTTGTTTTCCTTCAGAAAAACGTGGCTAACATTCCAAAGGTACACAGCCTTCTGAATAAACTATTTTCCCACGTGGGTTACCTCTTTCCTTCTCTTTTCGTGAATCCATTTCCCATTTTTTAAATTGAGATATAGTTGATGTGCAATATTGTATAAGTCTCAGCTGTACACATTCACAGATTTTAAAGGTTATACTCTTATACCATCTATAGTTATTATGAACTATTGACTATAAATTTACCATTCGTTTCATCAAAATCCAAATAAAGACTTAATGCCTCTTTGGCACTTAATTTCATCTGATTTTAGTCTCCCCAGTTAATCTGATAGTAATTTTTTAATGTGAGTTCACTCCCTGTGCCCCTTATGTACTCTCCCCATGGCATTCAGCCTTTATCAGCCTTCATCTGTTTTTTTTCTTATGATAGATTTTTATGATGGAAAGATACCTGATAGCAAGGATAATCATTCCTTCTTTTCTCATCATCTTTTTTTGTATATATATATATTTTTAATTGAAGTATAGTCAATTTACAATGTTGTGTCAATTTCTGGTGTGCCACACACTGCTTCAGTCATACATGGAAATACATATGTTCATTTTCATATTCTTTTTCACCATAAGTTACTACAAGATTATTGAATATAGTTCCCTGTGCTATACAGCATGAACTTGTTGTTTATCTATTCTGTATAGATCAGTTAGTATCTGCAAATCTCTTAACTCTCAGTTTATCCCCTCCCACCTTCCTCCCCTTTGGTAACCACAAGTTTGTTATCTGTATGAGAGTCTATTTCTGTTTTGCAAATAAGTTTGTTTCTCTCTTTTTTAAGATTCCACATATAAGTGATATCATTCTCGCATCTTCTTTACCTTCAACCTCAAAGCTTTGCCTGGGCCGCAAACCACAGTAGGATTCTGTTTCTTGAAATTGATAGAATGGCCATTGAACACTCACTGAAAGACTAGGCAGAACTGCATGTTGTATATAGGAAGCCCTCTGATGTTCTAGGCGGGGCTGTCCGATCAGACTTCCTGCAGTAATGGAAATGTCCATTGTGTTGTCCACTACAAGTAGTCACTGGCCACACTGAGCACTTGAAATGTGGCTAGCATCAAGGAACAACTAATTTTAAAATTTATTTAACTTTAGTTTGAATCTAAGTAGTCCCCATGTGTCTAGTGGCATACAGTTCTAGAATGTACCCCTTTTCTAGAAAAAAATTAGAAGAAAATAGAGTGACTCTGCTGTAATTTAGAGTGATTTTCATTAGTGATGTGGTACCTCCTATATCCAACTGGCTACTGAACCTCTCCACTTGAATATCTCACAGATAGCTCAGACTGAACATGTTTACACATCCACTGAACTCATGGACTCCCATCCCCCAATAATTCCAACTAGCTCCTTTCCCTTGAGCATTTTCTGTTTCTGCAAAAGGCACCATCATCTGTCTAAGTCCCCAGTATCACTCAAGGCCAAAACCATCAAGTTACCCTTTGTGCCTCCCTCTCACCCAGTTCTGCTTGTACGTACTGTACATTGTACCGCCCAGGTGGATCTTAATTTTTTTAAAAAATTATTTCCATGTCCACTGACTCATCCTAATCCTCTGTTCTCATTTCTTGCCCGGTCTACCAAATAGCTTTGAACTGGTCTCCCTGCTTCCACTTTTGCCTTCTTCAACTCATTGTCCTCATAGTACTGAGTGATGCTTCTCAGTAAAAACCTAGCCATGTTGTTGTCATCCATCACTTTCTTAGGACTCAGTCCACAATATTTAAGATGACCTATGAGACCTTGGCGGGTCTTGCTCTTGCTCCCTCTCTCCCTCCTCTCTGCCTCTCTCCCTGCTCTTCCTTCTGTTCATTTACATCCCTGGCCCCTCCAGCCCCAGCTCCCCTGTGCAGGCTCTTCCATCTCTAGGATGCACCTTCTCCTTTCCCTCCTATTCCATCCTTCAGATTTCAGCTTGAATGAAAGCCTGCTTGGGCACCCTTCACTGATCCGCCTAAGTCAATCAGTTCCGATTAATCATTCATTTTGGGCACCTTGTAGGTGGTCTCTTCTGCTGTACTTATGACAGTTGCCATGAAATCTTTTTATACAATGACTTGTTTAATCCTTATCTCCTCACTGAGCTATAAGCCTCGTGAGGTCAGAGATCTGTATCCTTGGCACATAGCACGATGCCTGGCACAGAGTAAGCATGCAGTAGATACTTGTTGAATGAATGAATGAATGAGTGATATCTATTGAGGGGAGTATAAGGAAATAAGCTTATGCAGCAGCATGAAGAAGATAGATTGAATACTGGAAGAACTTAATAAGGCTGAGGCTTGTTGAACATTATACAGGGCGGTTATTTTATTTTATTTATTTAGTTTTTTAATTGAAGTGTAGCCAACTTGCAGTACTGTGTTAATTGCTGGTGTATAGCATAGTAATTCAGTTATACATGTGTGTATATATATATAATATGAATATCCTTTTTTATATTCCTTTTCATTATAGGCTATTACAAGGTATTGTATATAGTTCCCTGTGCTGTACAGTAGGACCTTGTTGTTTATCTGTTTTATATATAGTCATGTGTACCTGCAAATCCTGAACTCCCAATTTATTCCTATAGCAGGGTGGATACTAGTTGGTCTAGTGGTGGCAAAATGCTATTAATGCTCAGTGCGTGAAATGTGTATATAAGAAAGAAAGGAGTGGGGAGGAATTAGCCTTCCTGCTACCCTGCTGCTTTATGAGAAAGGGGATTATTGGCTGTGACTCACTGAGGCCCAGAGCTGTAGGAAGCTGACAAAAGGCATTTTCACAAAGCACCAAGCAG